CCTTTCGGGTCAAAGTAGTCAAAACCAAAACCCCCTGGAATTTTTAAAAAGTGACCCCCTGGCAAATCCTTGCTACTGGTCTGAAGAGTATGTAGACGAAACAGTCGAAGTTTTCTTTTAAGAAGCTTAATTACACGAATGTGAAGGGTAATACTTCGAGAAATGATGGAAGCACAGATACAATCAGTATTAATGAAATGAGTTTTTGTGTAAGACATGGATGCTGACTGCTACAGACACTAAGGGATAGGGATATTTTGGTTTATTTTATAAACAATGAAGGGTGGGTGGCCCTTGCAAATATTGTATAACACTTGAATGAACCAGATACTAGCCAACCAATACCTTGATTCATCAAAATGTTTGTAGAAAGCAAAATCAACATTATCTTTTCATAAAATGTAACTAAGATGAATGAATATATAGCTAAACAGTAGTAGGTTTTTTGCAAACTTAAATATCAACTTTATGCTTAAATCATTTTATAATTTTTTTTAGCAAGGGTCTATACTGACACCTGTGTAGCAATTTAAATCACCAATTGAGGCCAATATAAAAAATTATGTACCCATTAATAGTAATCACCACAAATTTCACTTTTTGCCAAAGGTGAAACGCTGATTCATATTAGAAACCCTTACAATATGTTCAGTCATTGGTGCTATTAATCGATATGACCATAGGGGTAATTTAATATAAGGGTATTAATGATTTATTATGCATATGTGTACTGATAAAGCTAGAAGTATAAGATATGAGAAGTATCAGATGAAAAATATGGTAGAGTATTAACTATTGACCAAAGTAAAATAATTTGAAGGTGATACATTTATATATCAATAAAAAAGTACCTTTGATTTGAAAAAGTGAAAATATTGCTCAACTTCTATTTTACTGTTAAATAACACAGAGCGTTGTTTTAGTGTTACCGTGACAAATACAGTAGTCTCTCGCTTAAGACAGTCGCTTCATTTATAAAGGAAATGGATGAAATTTTATTGAAGGGCTAAGGTCTGAGGGCCAGGTAAACATGAAACAAAATAGTTCTCTCATCTTAAATCTGAACACCTCAGTGATTAGAAACAGTTTCTCCACATCAGATAAATAAAGCCCCCTTTCCCCTAAAATTGACAAGCCTTGAATCGAACTTCTTAACAAGCTCTTAAACTGAAATCGTAAAGATGGAGGAAGTACAAATGGTGAGCGAGATTGACAAATCTAAAGCCAGTTTTGGTATATCACTTTCAACATGAGAATGGGTATAACAGTTAAATTAAGCATACAAATTAAATGGTTTAATGATAAGGGTTTGATGATAAGGCAACAGCCTACTTTGTAAACCATACCCTTCTGATTTAGCCTTTTTATGATTTCTCTTTTCTCTATATGCTAATATATATATACATTGGTATACCTGAGTGTTTTGCAATATAAACCATATCTATTACTCGACTGCTTGATAAATGATTAGCAATTTAAAATACAGGGTGGTCCAAAAAAAGTGAACCCCTGCAACAGTCTACATTTTTCTTAATACATGCATGAATTGGCTCATATTATCACATGTTGTAGAGAAAGGTCTAAAATTTTGGTTGATGCCATAATTTATTCTCAGTCTTAAATTTTGAAGAAATTACAAGCGTTTAACAAACATGCCTGGAAATTAGATATTGTACAAAAGTTTACAAATGTGATTCACGGAAATTGTTGAAACACATTGGATGATCTAGCCTGGCTAACAGCTTTCAATTAGAGATACAATTTTAAAACCCTACCATATGACAAAGGGGACACTATTCAAGCAGAAAACACATTTCACACTTTCATTGGTCATTTTGAAGCATTTTTAACTGTTCAACAGTTCAGGGGAATGTTACCTACACCAACAATTAGAGGAGGCCTCTTATGGAAGGAAGTTGCCCCCTGTGACCAGGAATCTGATAACCCCTTCATCAAATATCTTTAAGAAATCAAAAGAAAATCCAATGTTCAATGTTTTGAGCCATATATCATTAGAATTGGTCCATGATTTATGAAGATATTGACATTTCAAGATCATATAGGGGTATGTTCATGATTTTACTGGAAAATGTTTTCGTCTGTGGAAGCTTAGCACATCTCTGGATCACAATAACTTTGCAATTAACAAATGTAGGATGCTAGTTTCAAGCCATAATGTGCAGGATTTAAAATTGAACAAAGTCAGAAAATATTAGTTCTTTAAGACTGCAGCTTAAAAAATATTCAGGGGAAAGGTGTTAAAGGGTTGAAGAATCGCGGATATTGAAAATCACAATTTGACCATTTTCAGTAATATTTGGTTAGGGCTTTTAATTTCTGCAAATTTCAAGAAGTAGAAAAATGTATGGTACCAACATAAATTTTAGACCTTCCTCTATAACATGTGAAAATAAAAAAGAATTCCTGCAAGTAATAAGGGAAATATGGCCAGTTGCAGGGGTTCACTTTTTTTGGACCACCCTGTACATAAGACCACAATGATCAAAACAAAACATTCCTTTTCAAATTCAGTAAATAGCTTACTAAATACTTTTTTGTGTTTGATTGAAGACATCCACCACAAAAATATTACTTTTGGAATTATCCCTATGATTATAAAGTTTCATAAGAGCAAATGAGGTCATACAAACAGGATTGATAGCTCTACCATGATTGATGGTGTTATCTAATATTATTCAATCATAAGTGTGTTTATCTAATAATTTGATAGTTTTACCCCAGGATTGAACAATTTGTTTGGAAGGGGTAGAACTGACAATATAGTGCTACAGTGCTCAGATGTCGAATTAAGGATGCAGTACCGGGTCGGTTTTCATGTCTGTTTGCGCAGGTTTAACTTCCGGTTTGAGAAAGCTAGCTCCCAAGAACGTCATTTTCGCATTTAGTCTTATTCAAAAATTATAGTTTATTTCGATAATGGTGTTTCCAGAAAAGAATTAAATTGCAAACATTTTATCAAGCATATTTTATCCCTTTCACTTTTATGGGAAAATTTGTTCTTGAGACGCAATTAGTGGATACGAAAACCAGGGTTCGAAAGGTGCCAGCTCTATTGAAAACTCAAAAAAGTAAAAAGATTCATTTTGGGTGGGTAAAATAATTTTTTTATTTTGTAATTACCAGACGGTGAATCCTTTTCGTATTGCACTTGGATGATGATAACATCATAGTGATACATTGTAAAAAATATGAGCAAAATCTAATGTCTGGAACTTTTTCTACGCTTACCTGGTACTGCATCCTTAAGTGATCCCAAATCAGAATTGAACAATGTGTTTGGAAGGGGTAGAACTGACAATATAGTGCTACAGTGCTCAGATGTCAGTCATGGAATTTAGTGATCCCAAATCATGGGTAGCCCTGTGGAATTGACATATTTTCTGAATATGAATACTTGAGTCCGCTTTACCTCAGTATTTTGATCATTTTTGCAGTCGAAAAACACTCCAAAATACCCCCAAAAATATATGAAAAATAAGTTTGTATTGTTTTCATTTTTCTCTCGCAAGATGACAGCATGTGTTATTGACCTATATTGAAATTATTTTCAAAATCATAATTCTCCATGATTTAATCAGAAATGAAGGCATAAAGAAAAAGTGTACCATATATATTTTAATTTGTTACTCTGCATGGATAACACCACTGACATTAAAAACGACCAATATTTAGCATAGATGGACATAATACCACTAACAAATTTTAATCAACTTTCTTGGATTGCTTCTACTTTGGCTTATAAAGTGTGTGGCCTCTTATATTTGGATGTTTCTCTGCCATGTTATTTTCAATAAGATTAACATGGCTGAAATTCTTCAAATTACAAGACGGCACAGGCTTATTGCACAAAAAACTAAAAAATCTGAAATATACAAATGTCATTCATGTACATTATGAATACACTTTTCCATATATTATTGCACAATGGTCTCCCAATTTCTTATTTTTGCCGTTCTACTGACGAAATGAAGCAGTGAAATGGACTCTAGATGTAACTTCATTGATTTTGTATGTAATCTAGAAAAAGTGTCACACCCACCAAGAACTCCTATTTAAAACAATCACTCAAAGCCAGAATTTAGAGAAGACTCTGGACCTAAGTAACCCTAAACCACGGATAGTGGGAAGTCCTCCATCTAGGAGGTATATATACACCAGGTAATGTTAGTAAAAATAAAAAAAAAATGAAAAAAACATCGTCACCTGTACTCTAGATTCAATTTTTGAATGAATCGTAGTTAAATGTACAGATTGTTTGATATCATGCTATTCTTGAATCATTTATACGCAAAAATAATTGGGTCGCTCACCTCTTATGCCTATATGTGTTCAGTAATCATCAATTATCGTGAGTAGAATTTCTCCAGGCCATTGAAGGGTCCGCTCAGTAAATTGACAATTTCTACTGCGCATGTGTGAAACACTGAACGAAATGGTTTGGTAAATTTCAAGCTATTTGATTGGTCGAAAAAATCACGCGCCTTTGCGTGATTTGCTTTATTCTCGCGAGATGGTGTGTGATTTGCTTTATTCTCGCGAGATAAGGCGGAGCGTCCCCTTAAATTTTTATTTTGAACAACCATTATAATTTGGTGCATTATCTGACCAATAAAGCAGATTTGGAGGTATGAATATTTTTTTTATTTTTCTGTTTAGTGTTTTCTACAGGCCCTATGTGTCTCAGGATATTTGTTTAACGAAAACTAGACAAATAATCTATTTTAAAAATACATATTTTTTATTTTGGATGGAAGATGCGTAACCTGAGAAATATAATATAAGTAATATATGGAGGACTTCCCATAACCGTGCCCTAAACCACTTGTGTATTGAAATTTTGTGGTTTTCAAATGAAGTCACTCATTGATACAAAGCTGAATTTCATCTAGATAACCACTAATCCTGCTTATCTTCAACCCCAAGATTTCGATATGCAAAAAATTTAGGCCAAAGGGGGGTTGAAAAAACCCTGAACTTACCATTCAAACTCATCTTCATACGGTTGCTCCTTTTCAACATCAACTTCATCAATGTTTTCTAAACTAATGTCTAGAACATTGTCACTGTTATTATGTAAATTATTATTTATATTTACTGCTTTCTGAGTCACATCTTGACCAGTGTTCGAATCCGTGTTCTGAATTAAATTTTTTGAATGATTTTGGGTTTGCTTCCCTCGAAGTACTTCATTCTGACGTTCGAGTTTCTTCACTAAATCTTGTAATTTTTTCACCTCCAAATGAGGGTCTATTGATGAGTCATCTGGTACAAGTACATCACCCATCGTTTTCTAAAACTGTCGTATATCCATTAAAATGAGACTCAAAACAATATTTCAGGAAATTTTGGCAGACATCTTGGAATAATTTACGCATGCGCACAACACGTTTCCTTGTTTCCTTATTTGCTAGCTCAGACAAACCGATCAACAAGCACATGTTGGTTTGTTTACATTTTGGTCATTGCCAAAAACGATCACTAGTATTCATATTTTGAGCGTGTAGAGTCTAGAATTCAGAAATAATGGCATAATTAATACCTGGAAGCTTAAATAAAGTGCTCAGGGAGCGGGGATACTCTCCTAGTTAGAAGGAAAATCATTTTCAATTTTCTATCCCCATAACGTGAGAAAAATCATTCACCCAAAAAAACTTTTTAGCCACTAAAGTGAGTGATATTCTAGAATATTTTTTAAGTCACGTGCCATATTACGTCAGCATATATTATGTTAATATGATCATGTGACAAAAAAATATCACCCTCCTAGTGACGTCACGCGGCCTTTCTTTAACAAAAGATGGCTGCCGTAAATGACGGAATATTAGTCGTCACGTTATGCTACTTCGTTTGACTTGTAGAGCCAATGATTGAAATGATTACTGCATTCATACACTAGATGAAAAAGTTAGGCGAGTAACTGTGCAATATTGAGCTGATTTGTGCCATCGAAGCCTAGGAAACAGCACTAAATGGAAAGTCCGATGGACACGCCATCTACCGGCGATAGTTCCGGCGAAGCACCGCCTGCAAAAAGGTAAATATCTCAGTCTGTATATGTTGCTATCTCTTATACGCGATAGTTAGCGAGTCTCTGTATGATAGTGATCAAAATGAAATACAAAAAGCGATGGCAATTTGAGTATTATTGCATTAATCAACCAAAACGTATTTAGCCTAATTGAACGAGAGGGCGCTGCAGTCGATTCAAACAAAACATGTGAAAGCGAAAGTGATAACAAATGACTAAATTCGTTTAAAAACAAGTTGCAAAAGTTGTATAAGATTGAACGAACTTTTCTCCCCTCGTTCAATTACTGCTTTGACATTAGATCTACAAAATTTTCATACTTGATAGATAAAGTGCTCACCATAAATAAACAAATGACACCTTGATTTTCTATCACCATTTCCAGACCATGGTGATTTGAGACTTCATACTTTCCAATAATGTCAAGATACACATCCCTTAAGTTTTGTATATTTTACATTTGTATGCTCTCATCTCCTGATGTATAGCCTCACTTCAGCAAATCCAGGTGTCATTTATTTATGGTGACCCCTGTAATCAGTAATCAGAGGGAAGAATGTGACTGACCGCACAAAAGCTTGTGCTTCAAGTTCAAGCTCTTGTTTTTCCAAAATTATACATCTTCCATTACGGGATATAGGATCATTATGCTGATGTCCTAGGCTGTTCAAACTCCAAATGCCATTTTGGCAGTCATTGCTGGTAGATCTGGATTTTCAAAGGGTTCAGTCAATTTTGAGAAGACCTGGTCAACATGACTGGTATTGTATTTTGATACAGAGACCAACCAATTTTGAAAAATTTTGCCTGCTTGACAGGTGGGGGATACTTTCTTAGGGTTTGCACTGGTCCTAGGGCAGTTATAGGGCTCGATAGCAGTAGTTTACTTGAAGACCATCAGTAATCTGGTGCCAGGACAATAGTCCTGAAATCATCCCAATAGATTGTCCATATGTAGTAGTAGATATATCTTTGAAATTAGAGATTAGATTGTCTTAACTTGCTAAAGATATTTTTCACAAAGCTGAAATATCAAAATTCTAACTGGGATGATCGAGATAATTTAAACAAAAAGAAATAACTTGGAAACAATATTGCATTTATTTCATTATATAAAACATGTATTTTCAGCTCAAAGCTAGACAGTTTGGTAAAAAGATTGGCAACTGAAAGATCAGATTCTCCAGTTCCTTCTCCTAAATCTGCAGTAAGCATACATATTTTCTATATTTGACCAGTTTAAAATATTAAAAACCAATCACTATTAGAATGGATGACATATTGACTTATTTACTAATTTTACAATTTAATGAATCCTTCATTATTGTTATAGTACATGTCAAACTTTCTGAGATGAGTAAGAATTGATTGTAAGTATTGGTCCATATTCATAGTTTATGTGTGGCTGCCAATCAAATCAACTTTATTTGGCCCTCCCATATATATTTTGTTGATTAGAGTCTCACATGTCATCTTTGACTTCAAGCCACTTTGAAGAACACAACGTGGCATTGTTTTTTCATTATGTTTTTCATATTATTTTCAGGATGCAACTGCTAGCAGAAGTGGGGCATCAAGAAGGTATATTCAGATTCTTTTCTTTATAAATTCATTTATTTCATTTCTCATTAGTATACATTTGAAGTTTCAATATGATGATTGATGAAAATGCACAAATGGCAACATTAGAAAAACACCAATGTGCAAAAATGAACTTATATTTGTTTAAGTTAATATAATAAGCATAATTATGAAGTTATCATAACATTATTTACTGTATAGCAATATACATCCTTGCTATTGAAATGATCCCCTCTTGTATTAAGTGCATGATTTCCTCCTTGATTCAGAAAAGCTAAGGTGACTCACAAACACATTGAGGATGAAGATGCTCTGCCAGATAGTGAGCCATTTGCTCCCCCAGAAGATGGTGCTGCAGAGATAACCAGCCCGGTCCAAAGTAGAGAGAATTCCACCCCTGCAAGCCCAGAGCCTGGCCCCAGCACAAGAGAGGATAATATAGATGTGGACGAGTCTGGCAATCTGATTTTGCCTGAGGGTAAGTAAAAATGTTTGCTACCAAGGGGTCAATTTTGGAACTGTCGTAACCTATGATTTCGTTGCAAATCATTGTTTGTCAAAAAGTAAACAATGGTTTTCACAGAATTGAAAGTTACGATCGTACCTAAAATGAAACCCAGGGGCCAGCCTTTCATTCCTCCCAGCCTTCCATTTCTGCAGAGTGCAGACAGAATTGTGAAGCAGACTGCTTTGCCATATATGCCTAATATCAGTGAAAGGAAAGTCATGTCCTTGTATTACTGATTAAATATAGCCTTTGCTTCAAGACTGTGGACTTATCTACTTCACAAACACAACACACGTCTTGTAGATGGAGGGGGGCCCACAAGGGCTAGACTTGATTAAATACCTAGTACACTGTATGTATTTGTAGAAAATAGAAACTGTGTTAAGTGCCAGTTGTGCAGTCAGTTACCCATTGGGAACCCACGACCCCTTGCTATCTAGGCAAGGGTTCCACCAATGAACTACAGAAGTGACTGACTTTTCCATGTCTACATTTCTGTTTTTTTCCTTTTAGGCACTGTAGTTGTTCAACCAGAAGCTGTCGATGATAAAGACGCCTTCAAAGGACCAGAATTCCGAGGCTCTGGACGCAAGAAACAGGAAGTCTCCACATTGCCTATATGTGGTATGTGGCTTAGGATACTCATTAAAAATATCAGACAAATTGTGTAGTGCATCGTGATACACACTGTCACTTTGTCTTGAACTTTCCAATGAGAAAGATAAGAGGGGGGGGGTCTAGTAATCAGAATGTGTATGGTGGATTTGTAAAGATATCAGACAAATTGTGTAGTGCATCGTGGCAGTGTGTATCATGATGCACTACACAATTTGTCTGATATCTTTACAAATCCACCATACACATTCTGATTACTAGACCCCCCTTCTTATCTTTCTCATTGGAAAGTTCAAGACAAAGTGGCAGTGTGTATCACGATGCACTACACAATTTGTCTGATATCTTTACAAATCCACCATACACATTCTGATTACTAGACCCCCCCCCCCCCTCTTATCTTTCTCATTGGAAAGTTCACGACAACGTGACAGTGTGTAAAGATATCAGACAAATTGTGTAGTGCATCGTGATACACACTGCCACTTTGTCTTGAACTTTCCAATGAGAAAGATAAGAAGGGGGGTCTAGTAATCAGAATGTGTATGGTGGATTTGTAAAGATATCAGACAAATTGTGTAGTGCATCGTGATACACACTGCCACTTTGTCTTAAACTTTCCAATGAGAAAGATAAGAAGGGGGGGTCTAGTAATCACAATGTGTATGGTGGATTTGTAAAGATATCAGACAAATTGTGTGGTGCATCGTGATACACACTGTCACTTTGTCTTGAACTTTCCAATGAGAAAGATAAGAGGGGGGGTCTAGTAATCAGAATGTGTATGGTGGATTTGTAAAGATATCAGACAAATTGTGTAGTGCATCGTGATACACACTGTCACTTTGTCTTGAACTTTCCAATGAGAAAGATAAGAAGGGGGGGGTCTAGTAATCAGAATGTGTATGGTGGATTTGTAAAGATATCAGACAAATTGTATAGTGCATACTGCATAGTGATACACACTGTCACTTTGTCTTGAACTTTCCAATGAGAAAGATAAGAAGGGGGGGGTCTAGTAATCAGAATGTGTATGGTGGATTTGTAAAGATATCAGACAAATTGTATAGTGCATACTGCATAGTGATACACACTGTCACTTTGTCTTGAACTTTCCAATAAGAAAGATAAGAAGGGGGGGGTCTAGTAATCAGAATGTGTATTGTGGATTTGTAAAGATATCAAATAAATTGTGTAGTGCATTGTGATGCACACTGTTTGTCTTGAACTTTTCAAAGAGCAAGATAGAGAGGTTCTGATAAATCAGACTGTGTATGGTGAATTTGTAAAGATATCAGACAAATTGTGTAGTGCATCGTGATACACACTGTCACTTTGTCTTGAACTTTTCAAAGATGTATAGTGCATACTGCATAGTGATACACACTGTCACTTTGTCTTGAACTTTCCAATAAGAAAGATAAGAAGGGGGGGTCTAGTAATCAGAATGTGTATTGTGGATTTGTAAAGATATCAAATAAATTGTGTAGTGCATTGTGATGCACACTGTTTGTCTTGAACTTTTCAAAGAGCAAAATAGAGAGGGTCTGATAAATCTGACTGTGTATGGTGAATTTGTAACTTTAATTACCGTTTCAAAGTGCTATATTATCATTGTCTGGATTGACTGCTTTCTGCCATATAAAAATTGTTATCAAAATTCCAGCATACTCTGACAGGTCAATCCTTATATTGAGGTTGACATTTCAAATAATTTTATGTTTTTTTTGTTTGTTATAAATAGAGTCATCGGGGCTCATGAATAAGATATGAAAAAATTTGAAAACACATGTTTTTATTTTCAGGTGGATTTGCAGTGACCCAGTCTATATTCTGTACAGCATGCAACAAGCAGATTAACCCTAATGGTGCTGGTAACATCAAGAGACACCCTGTATTGAAGGTTCTTGTCTGCAAGGTAAGAACAATGAACCAATCAAATTACATGTAACAAACAGATCAACCAATCGAATTACATTTCACAAACAATCAACCAATCAAATGATATCTAGAGAGATCAACCCCAATTGTGTGTTCCATAACCATTTTCGAAATCAAAGTTGTTTAGGTTTGGAATTTCTATAAAACTCCTGCTTCTCCACTTCAGAGATGCTATAACTGGTACACAAGTGCTGAGATAGACCAGGACAGTGATGGGATGGATGAGCAGTGTCGCTGGTGTGGAGAGGGAGGAAACCTGCTTTGCTGTGACACGTGTAGTAATGCCTTCTGCAAGGGATGCATCAAACGCAACTTGGGAAGAGCTGAATTATCAGCTCTAATGGACTTAGGTGAGTGACTACTAATAAGAGAGGGAATATCCCAGAATTCAGAGATGAACCTATCTTCATGTGAAGGTGAACCTCTAAATTTTCATTTTTGTACCAGTATATATTCACAATTCTTTTCAAATTAAATCATCAACATTTTCACTCAATGTCAGAGGACAGATATAAATTGTAGAAGACATGGTAAATTTTTAAAAAAAGTGGAAAGAACAATGCAATACAAATTACTTTTGCTACTACATGTATATTGAAATTAGTTTACCAACATTCAATAATACACAAGAGACCGAAAATGTAAATCAAGTAACATTAAAAAACCAAGCAGCAAAATGATGTATTGTGAACTGTGAACCATTATGTGCATTAATCTACCCCTTTTTATTAGCATAAAATTTGGGATATGTGTGGGCTTTTAAGATTTCATCCTGCTTCTTTGTGATTCCAGATGACAAAGAGAAGTGGAAGTGCTATGTCTGTAATCCTATCCCATTGGCTGGCCTCATCAAGAAATGTGACGAGATCCTGAAAGAATTCACAAAGTACCACATGGAGCAGGAACGTAAACGAGCTGCATCAGCTCAGGTCCACGAAGTAAAGAAGAAGCCTCTTCCTGGTAAACCTTCACCTGTACCTAATAGGCCACCTGGTCGTGTTCAAACTGGGAACTTGAAGGTTGTTTCAGGCCCCAGGCAAGTCATTATGGCCAACCAGGCTACTAGAGGTGGTATGCAACCGCAGCGTGGTGGAATCCGTCCTGGAATGCCACAGAGAGGAGGTATCCAACAAAGAAATTTTTCTCCTCGACAACAACAGCAGCAGCAACGTCCTACAGGGCAGGTTAGACCAGGACAGGTTAGACCAGGACAGAATATACCACCTGGCCAAATTAGACGTGTCAATAACATGCCTGCAACCAGCATGGTAACGCCATTTAGAATAAATGAAAGCAATTTGGGAATCTCCTTAGAGAAATTCCTAGCAGCTACCCAATCTATGATGATGCTGCTCCAGAGTCTTAAAAATGACTACAATGGTACCAAAATCGCTAAATCAGAGGTTGTGAATCGATTACGTCGTGCTCTTGCCTCATATAAGGAAAATATCCGTCTTATTGAAACCTGCCAAGTGAAGCCGGCAATGAGGAATAAACAAGGACAACCAGTAGGAGTTAACAAGCAGACTTTTACAGTTGGGAATAAACAGTTCCAGTCAATTCCAGGGACTAGACAGGTCGTTACAACTGGAGCAGGACGAGGAGGTAGAACTGGTCGACCCACAGTAAGGTCAAATGTACAGAAAGTTGCTCCAGCAAAACCAATACGGCCAGCGGGTGAAGTGATCAGTGAATCTCACCGTTTAGATGGATCTTATCTGATTGTTAGTAATGGTAAAGGAGGCACCGTTGAGGTCAAAGTTGATGAGAATACATTGCAGAATCTTGCGGCAATTACAAGTGCCGCAGCCAAAGATCAGCAACGGGAAGCAACAAAGCCAAAACCTGCCAGTGATCCTGATGAAATCATCATCCTTGAATCAGATGAAGAAGACGAACCCAAAAAGGCTAAAGCCTCCCCTAGTGAGGTTGGAGATGGTGATGCAAAGATGACCAATGGGACAAAAGGTGGAGAAGATGACACCAAGAAAAACTCTGAAGATGATGTTGTCACAAACGATGATGACGATGATGGAGATGACAATGAGAAGAACAAAAAAGATGGAAATAAATGGAAAATGAAGCTTAATTTTGGTACCAAAAGGAAACGTGAAAGTGGATCATCAAGTGAATCTGACACCAAAGATAACACTAAAGAGGACAGCGATGAGGAAGAGGCAGAATCAATGAGAAAAGTTCGTCCGGGACCAAAAAGTTTTAAACTAAGAAATAAGAACTCTCCAATGAAAAAGGCTACTTCTGCCAAACAGGCTGTTCTGAATAAGGAACACGAAAATACAGAAACAGTAAAAGAAGAACCCAAAGATGAGGCAAAAGATGAAGAGATGAAAGAAGAAAAAGATATCTCTGATGTTAAAGAGGAAGATGATGCTGTAAATGATACCACCGAAAATGAAGAAGTGAAAGATATCACAGAAGATACACATGAAGAAGTTAAACAAGAAGGTGACACAATGGAAGATGACCCTAGTGAAGTATTAGAAGAAAGTGAAGAACATAAAGAAAATGGTCACAATGTGGAAGAAAATGCTGATGATGTAGATATGATTGATGATTCAGAAGATACACATGAAACAATAAAAGAGAAAGTCAAAGAGAAAATGGAGGATGAGTTAGGACAGGCTGATTATGTAGATGGTACAAATGATCATATGACTTTACTATGGACCCCAGATGATATAAGCAGTGATCATAAAGGTATTAATAGTGGACAAGGGCCATCATCAGATTATTTAGATGGAGTAAATGACAATGTCACAATTATAGCCAATCCTATAGATACTCAAAAAGAACTGTTTACATCATCAGAAGATGAATCTGAAAGTAGTGGAAGTATAAATAAAGTTATTACTGGAATAACAGTTAATTATGACAATAGTCAACAATCATCTAGTGATCCAGAGAGTGATAAAGAAAGCATAAAAGAAAATGGAATTAGTACTGAGGACTCAAGTAAAGAGGATGAAGAAAACACAAAAACTAACCATGATAGTGAAAGGGAAAATATTGACAATGGAAATGAAAATAATGACAGTGGAAAAGAAAAAAATAATGACAATGAAAGTAAAATATCTGACAGTGAAAACACTACACCTGGTGCTGAGCAAACATGTGAATCTGAAAGTAAAACTGAAAAAGAACAATCTGATATGAAAGAATCAACTGAACCAAAAGTCACGAAAGAACTTGATAATAATGATGACAGTGATACTATGGATCAGGATATTAAATCTGTAAAAGATGATATCAAAGATGATGATGATAATGAGAAAAGTGAAAAACCTCAAAAGGTTTGGAAGGAGGTTAATATACAAGATGACAGTAGTAGCAGTGATGATGATGATGATGTTACCCCTACCCCTGTCAAAGCTTTCTTCAAGCAATTTAAATCCACCCCTGAAGAAGAGGAAACAGTTGATGCGGGAAAGGTTGAGGTACAAGATGACCCTGACAACTACAGAATTGAAATGGATGATTCCGATGCTAATGATGACACTGAAATGATGGACACTAGTGTTGTCAATTTAGAATCTGATCAGTTAAATGAAGATGAAAGTTTAAATGTCGATAACCCTGATAACTACAGAGTTGATATTGATTTAGAAGAGGAAATCGAACCTAAGAAAACACCACCAAAGAAAAAATGTGGTCCGAAATCTAAGCGTAAAAAAGTTGATAGCGAGTCTGATGATGAGAATGATGATCGTACTTTGGAAGATGTAGAAGCACAGAAAGAGCTCTTAAAAGAGATGCTTGATTCTGAGTCCGAGTCCGACTCTGAGTTTGAGTTCTCTGACTCTAGTGAAGATGGAGTTGATAAATCTTCAGGTGATGAATTCAAACCTCAGAACAGCTCAACGTCCAAGAATTCAAAGAAACTTAAAGGTAAGTCAGATTTTCCACACAAAGCAACTAATACCCAGGCCTCTGCCCATTGTGATAAACGTATCATTGAAAATAACATAATCTTAAAATTAAAATTAACATTTTCTCCAGTAGTCTACAGTGATTGCTGCTACTCAAAATGGAATTGATGAAGGGATAATTACAATCAGTTCCTGGATATACCTAAAATTGCCATAATATTTGAAAAAATGCTGAGGATGCAATATAGCCAATATCACTAGAGAAATTGGGAGTAATTTTTTATTTTACGTTTTTGATTTGCATTTCAGGAAAGGATAGGTCCAAATTGAAAGATGGCAAGAAATCTCTAAGAAAGCGACACAAAAGTTCAGATAAAAATGACAGTAGCCGTGATAAAATATCTGAGAAAAGGCGACGGAGAAGTTCAAATTCTGAGAAACACAACAGTGGTAAAGACAAGTCCATTAAAAAGCCAATAAGACCTTTAAGTAAACAAAAGGATAAATTAAAACTACCTGCTAAAGTGGTTCTTGTTCCTATAACAGACAGTGATATCTCTGATTGGTCGAGGGGAGTTAGCCCAAATAGATCAAAACCAAAACCAAAAAGTCACCAAAAGTTGAAGAAACCACGTCGTGAATCCTCATCATCCAATCACGATTCTGATTTAGAGGATGAGATAGAACGCCTATCTAAGATGCCAGCTAAAAAGGGTAAAAGTCGGCAAAAGAAAAGTGATGGAATGGAAAAATCAAAAAAAGAATCCTCAAAAAAAGAAAAAGGTAAGAACACATGTTATAAAAATAAAACCCGTATTTTGATTATATCAAAATTATCACTTCAGAAGAATAAAATGGTATGTACTTGTGTCAACTTGAAATGGATTATCACTCCATCCAAAAAGGGAAAACTTGATTTTCTTCCCTACATTGGAATTGAAATATGTATATGCATGGCAGACAGAAATGAAACTTTAGTACATTTTTGTCAATTTGTAAATGATAAAAACCTGTGAATTTTTCAAGGTGATAATTGTAAAATGACCACTTAAAGCCTTTGTATATCTAGTGCAAGGGTTTAATATGTGCATATTGGGAATATAAGCCTAGGGGGCAAAACATACCCACTGAATATCAACATGCATCAGAAAATATAATTATTTTGATTTGAACCCCATCCTCCCCTCAAAATTAAACCATATCAATATAATGTTGCAACCTACATGAATACTGCACTTGATGAAGAGTAAATAATGTTGGACAAAAGGAAATTGAATGTTACCCTCACCCCAAATGCACACAATTTTGACATAGCCCCTGAACTACCATTCAAATTAGCATGTGCAGTAGAACCTGTCTTATTGGAACTCCACTAAGGCATTTGGTCATCTATTGTGAATTAAAAGAATGGGATAAAAAAAAGTGTTCAAAAAGTGTTCACATTGAGAGGTGTTTGAGTTTTGTTGGGATAAACATGTTTTACTTGCATAAGAAGGTTTCATAAACTCTGTGGCACCTGGATTTGAAAATAGCAATTTTGAAAACAGGTATCACATCTTTTCAACGCTGCACCTAGAATTACTGACAGAATCATATGAGAAAATGGGTTTCTGACAATTTAATAGCAATCTTGACTTGCGATGACAAAATGAGCAGTTATCGAGTTTCAGTTGCATTAATGTATCTTTACACCTCTTTATATCTTTGTAAATGTGAAAATTAAATGGGGATCACAATAAGACTCAGCGTCACACACAAAACCAATCAACCTAATATGGGATAACTGAGATATTATAACAGTGAGAAAAGGCATATGTGATTGACTTATTCCTCCTTGTGTTCCAGTTAAAAGATTACCTGGCAAGAAGAAAAAGAAGAAAGAAGAGAGTTCAGACTCTAGCAGTAGCTCAACAAGTGAAGAAGACGAAGTCAGCCTCAGTGACTCAGTGAGTAGACTTTTTCTCTGTTATTACCACATTTGAGTGGTGAAACTCTTGAAAACACTCGTGAGACTCGTGAAAACACTCGTGAGACTCGTGAAAACACTCAAGTGGAAATGGGTCAAATCACAATAAAAAAGTCAAATCACAATAAAAACATTTCTTAGGAGAAAATTTTAAATTATGGGTGGGTGCCACACAAATCTTGTCATCAAAATTCCGGGAAAATTGCTCTTCTGGACAACTTAATATACATAGCATTGATATATAGGAATGTTGATTAGAGGTATTTCACTTATAGGAAGACAGATCTGATGTTGATATGAAAAAGTTGAAATCTAAAGTGCCATCTGATGACGAGAATGCAAGAGCCAAGAGAGCCATGCTTGCAGAGATGAATGATAGTGATACAGAGGAAGACTCGGACACTGTTGATGAAGATGCCACATCCGATTCAGGTAATGCAGGGTTCTTTCAAAGATTTAGTTGCTTAAATGGGTGCCAAGTAAATGTTACCTATACTGAATATACTATGCAAAGGTAATCACTCATGACCATGTGAACATTTGTAATAGAGGTTTTCTATAATGCAGATATGTCAGGGGTATCCCCAGGATTTATTCAAGAGGGTGTATCTACATTTAAAGAAAAAAAACTTCATAATTCTGACTTGAAGCCTAGCTTCTCTAGATAGCAAAGTCCCATACATTTATGTTATTATTAGTTATAAATCACCCATTTTGATAATTTTGATTATGGTATTTTCAGATATCAAAAAAGTTAAGAAGAAATCTGCAACTAAAGACTCGAGTAATACAATGTCAGATTCAGATGATTCTATAGGAAAGCCCAAGAAAAAAGCGCCATATCAAGACCCCTTACTCCGACAGGGTCTCTCCAGTTCTGATTCGGATTCCGACTTTATGGCTACACCTGTGAAGAAAAAGTAAGCAATTTTTAATGTTGACCTTCAGAATACATGTAACTTAATGTCTGATTCCTTAATACTGTTAATTGCTTTATTTTGGTAAATTTGGAGAACTAGAAAACATACCAATTTACATCTTTCGCCAAAGTTTAGAAAAAAAAACAGGAATATTACTGACTTAAATATTTCATTGAAAAATATGTTTTCAGTCGTAAAAGGACCAAACGATCCAGTTCCTCTGATTCAGATGAACTAAACGAAACTGAAAGTGAGAGTGACAGTGATTTCAAAACAAAGAAGCCAAGCAGAAAGAAGAAAAGGACATCGACATCTGATAGTGACTCTGAAGAAGACACCAAGAAGAAAAAGAAAGGAAAGGGCAAGGGGAAAGGGAAAAAGAAAAAGCGACGACGGATAAAGCGAATGAAGAACTCCAGTGATTCTGATAGCAGCAGTAGTGATAGAGACAAGGGGAGCTCAGATGTATGTATCGCGTCTTTTTATGTCCAAATATTACAAGTTTTTAAAGAAGTGGTTTATCATATTGTGATATTTTGTGACTGGCATTACGAGTTAATATTTGGCGGCTGTTTATCAAAATGTTCTTCACTTTTGTCACTGAAAATTTTGTCAGTTGGTGTTTGGTGGTTGGAATTCAGTGTTTGATGATTGGTGTTTGGCATTTAGTGGTCATGACTGTACCAATTGGCAGGTGGTGAAATTTTGCATGTTAATGCCTTGTTACCTCATGCAATATTATTCTTAAGTCAGATGATTCAGTCCTCTCTTCTTCTTTACAGGAATCTGGCTCTGGTTCGGACATTCCAGGGAGTGCCAAGAAAAGAAAGAAGATCCGTAAACTTCTGAAGAACAAGAGTCTGAAGGATGAGACAAAGAATGCCCTGAAGGAAGAACAGGACAGGAGAGAGAGGATAAAACTTAAACAGAGTAGGGTAGGTTGTCTTCTGAGATACATGTAATAAGAAAGGGAGGAAGGTTATCTATTGGGATATCCAGGAGGGAGAATCTCATCTTCTGGAATACCCAGGAAGGTAGGGGGAGGATATATATTGGTATTCAGGAAGGAGGCGGGGAGCTTACTGGAATATTCAGGAGGGAGGGAGGTTATCTATTGGAATATTCAGGAGGGAGGGTGTGGTTATCTATTGGAATATTCAGGAATGATAGAGAGGTCATACTGGAATGCAATGTAGATTATCAAAATATTTTTTTTTAAATGTTTCAGCTTATATTAATAAGATTTTTTTAATATCCTCTTTTACATTGCAGTACAATAGAGTGACCCAGATAGAAGATTCCAGCTCCCCAACCAAGTGCCCAATCACAACTGAATTAATCCTTGAGAAGGATGAGGAAGATGATAAGGTCTTAGTTAAGGTGGACAAAACTCTGGTCAGGTGTCTGAAACCACATCAGGTTGAAGGTGAGCATTTGCATCATTCATTACTGATCCCAGTTTCTGTTTTTGATTAACTTTCTCAGTTAGTAACGATGATAGGAGGTTGTACATCTGTATGTATCATTGGAAAGGTTATTCAATTCCCAGTATTTTTAGCTTACTTTTACTATTTAATCATTTTTGAAGAAATAATTTGTTTTCATATTTCTACGTACCATTCGCCCTGTACTTATGTATGCCTCTAATGGGACTCAACTCATTACCAATGATTGATGTGACAGAATGCACATGTTGTTATTTCCACTTGTTCTGTTTTTTCAGCTGTTCAATTCATCTATGACTGTACAGTGGAAAATGTGAAACGTCTGAAAAAAGAGGAAGGATCTGGCTGCATCTTAGCTCACTGTATGGGTCTTGGCAAAACTTTATCTGTAAGTTTGACACTCTTGTTTATTTTTTGGGTCTTGGCAAAATTTTATCTGTTAGTTGGATATTATGGGAATATCATATGGTTTTGAAATATATGATTTATATCCATGAGTGGATGTTGATATCTTCAACAGTGAGCGCAAAAAAATTGGAAAAAAGTTAAAATTTTTGAAAAATCAAAACCATCGAATATCACTTTTGATTATTCAGTTACATTAATATTACATTTTCCTTATGTCTTAATCATACCTGATGAATCATGTGAAATTCCAGTTTGAGAAAACAGTTTTTCATTAATTTCTTATTTGAACACTGCTGTACACTTGGATCCTTCAATCTATTTTTAATATCTGAAATTATAGAGTAATTTAACTTAATTACGAAAATAATTAAACTATTCTATTTATTAGACTGTTACATTCGTCCACACAATGCTTACTACAAAGATCGCCAAACAGCGGACCTGTCTGGTTGTTTGTCCCCTCAACACTGTCCTGAACTGGGTGAATGAGTTCGAAATTTGGATAACAGAAAAACTGGATGAGAAAAAACACTTAGATGTAAGTATATGAAAATATGCATGACATTTACTGGTGAGAGCAAAAATAAATTGTAATTTCTACATTTTTTTCAAAATTTACTCTAAACTTGTTCTTTCTATTTCCTTAAAAAGATGCCGTGTGTGTTTCAGATTTATGAGCTCTCCACCATCAAGAATGCCACAGAGCGTGCTGACTACCTCGAACAGTGGATGGAAGGGGGTGGAGTTATGGTCATTGGTTATGAAATGTTTAGAAATCTTGCCAGTGGAAAGAATATCAAAAAGAAAAAAGTTAAAGAAAGTTTTGCAAAGTCTTTACTCAATCCAGGTTTGTGAACTAAACTCTTTCAAAGAGTTGTAATTTAAAACATAATTACATTATTGCCTATCAAACAATTCTGTATGGCACCATTATTTCAGTTTTGAATTGGATGGATGTGGATTGTCTAATTAGACGAGACAGTTAAGAGATTGCAGTGAAGAGACCATTTAGCCATTGTCAGTTTCTATTCCATCTTTAATAGCGATTTGTCATAAATGTACTATATTTTGCCATACTTAAGTCCTTGTATTATGTTGTAGTGACATATTTTGATAACTTTTTTGTGAATGGCAGTTGGCATTCGAAGTTTGTAACAAATGGCTGGTGGTGACATTTTGCATGTTAATGCCTTGTTAGTATTATGTGTGACTCACTGCCAACTATACTTGACTGTATGTGTATGTGGCTTGCTTCTTCTTTCAGGTCCAGATATTGTTGTATGTGATGAAGGCCACATCTTAAAGAATGCAGATACAGCAGTCTCCAAGGTAATGAACCAGATGAAGACAAGACGGAGAGTCATCCTTACTGGAACCCCTCTACAGAACAATCTCATTGAATGTAAGTTCTGGGATTAAAATTATAATTTCCAATAATTTTGCCGATTATTTTCATTCATTGTGCCCATTGACGGACATTCTAAAATCACTGAATCCCTCACTGGAACCCCTCCCATTGACAGACATTCTAATATCCTTGAATCCCTCACTGGGACCCCTCCCATTGACGTACATTCTAATATCACTGAATGCTTAACCTACAGTATTGAACTGCAATATATTTTCTTCTTTTCAGACCATTGCATGGTGGATTTTGTAAAACCTAACCTGCTTGGTACAAAGAAAGAGTTCAGCAATAGGTTCGTCAACCCTATAGCCAATGGTCAGTGTGCCGACTCCAGTAGTTATGACGTGAAACTCATGAAGAAACGTGCCCATATATTACATGAGATGTTAGATGGCTGCGTACAGGTAAGCTGTACATGCGTAGCAAAATATGCTCAAAGATGTGGATGACCTTCTTCTTTCTAGGAATTAAAAGGCCCCATGCAAAGTTTTAAAAAATGAATCATCCCAATTATATTTTTTATGACTAAAAAGATCTTTTAGACCTTTTTCAAAAATCAAATTTACTTCTGAAAAAATTCAGAATCAAAGGTCATCAAATATAAACAGCACTACATTGTAGAATTATCAGCAAGGATTGTGTAATCTTTCCGCTCATAGGGCCTTTAACTCTATTTAATTATTTTTAAAAGCTACTGAGCGGTAATTAATTTACTAAAAATTAGGATTTTCATGCCTGCCAATTTGAAAGTGACATAAAACCTAAACCAACAGAGATAACACCACCAAATTTTTACTCATAATTGGAAACATATGTATAAATCATATGTTAACGTATGAACTCATCACAATTAGAGGCACTGATGATAAAAAATCCTAAACATTATGTATTGCAAAAAAACATAAGACCCCTACTAAATATTACCTTGGTGTACCCCAGCAGCTTCCCTTGCCTGTCCCCCAAGCACAGAGTTGTCAGGCCCATCATCGTTCTAAGTTTCATTTTCTGAGGCTTCAAATATTAGGCTTCACTGCCAGAATAATTGAATATAGCAGCGATTTGATCATCATTACCCGTCTAAATCTAGCCCTTTTTAAATACCACAATGTCTGATCACTTCCAGATTCGTATTTGTTACAAAATATCAATTAAGTGACCAAAATAATTTTTTTCAGAAACTTTGCTTCGCCAAATTAATTTTAAATCACTTCCTGTCAATGTGAGTACCAAATATTGGCACTGCAATACAAGGGTGACATCTTTTGAAGTCTGCTAAAACTTTCCTATAGCATGTCAACTCCAGGTTGACATACGCCATAAAGCGTAGTGGCGACAAAACTCGCCTGACCGCGCAAAAGAGTTAATACAATTTAGAGCCACTGCTACATGCCGGTTTAACAACAATTTGCTAAATAGAAGCAGTTGATGATTCAAACTATGCTGTTCACATTCCGTATTAAACTCTGTGGAAAGTCATTTGATAGTATGAAACTGCACTAGTATGCTAAACATATCAGTTATAAACAAGAGTAGTTGGTACCAGATTTCAAGTCTGATGAATTTCAGCCTATTAGTAAAAAAGATAACACTCCATTAAATACCCAGATTTTCTCTTATGAAATATCCACTTTTGAATAGAATACCATTCTATTTTAGGCCTTATGAATTTGACATTTATTTTTCAGAGAAAAGACTACAGTGCCCTAGTGAAGTACCTACCTCCTAAGTTGGAGTATGTCGTATCAATACGTCTCTCCCCTGTACAGATAAAGATGTATAGACAATACCTTGATATGAATGTAGACCCCACACAAGATAAGGTAAGACTGGGTAAGGCTCATCAAGAAGGATGTGACTTATAGTGCAGGCTACCTATGAGCCAAATATCAACTTGACCCCCGCACCCAGTATAACAAGTCGTCATGGGTATCAAATTGTTCGTCTTGTTGAGTACATTACAAAAACCAATTTTGACAGATTGAAATATGGGTCAGATTCGATAAATATGACATAATGTTATGTAATCTATTATTATGACATAGCATTTTTTGTAAAGCATTTTTAAAGGAAATAATGAAAAGAAATCATGAGCTAAACAAATATTAATTGTGTATATACTTTAAAATAAATTTTGATAATTATCGAAAATACTTTGGACTTAGAATTATGTAATTATTACATAATTTCCATTGTTTTATGAGTAAAATTACAATTTGAATTGTTTTTGTTTTTAAGATAACAGAATTTTTGTTCTAAATGATATAAACGTCATGTGCTAAACCAATTCAAGCAATAATATCTTATTATGAGTACAAACCTTTATAAAAAAGACTTAATCTCATTGCAAACAATATATGCCATGCATATGTAGCAGCAAATAACAGTACTTGAACGGTGTATTAAGACACAATGATAATATCATTAAATATTTAATCAGATATACTTATCCAAATATTCATGCATATAAAAATCAGGTAACTGTTATGATCATTTTAAACATGATAAATATCAATTTTTACATATAAGGGCTTACATCTTTCAATAGAATCATTATATAATATGATGATATGATTATTTCAAACATCTTTATTCTAAACATCTGGATATGGTTTTTCCTCAACCATTATTGTGTTTTGACAAATACCCACCTCACGGGAACAGATAGACATGCGCAACAATCCTGCAAGTAGGCATCTACAAGCCTGATTAGTGCGAAATCCATCTTTACAATAGATTTGGGTAAGATGCCTTAATTCAATGGGGGCGGATGCTCTCAAAATCATATTTGGAACCAGACTTCCATCAATAAAGTAGCATTCGTTGCCTTCTGGTTTCCAAAGTTTGGGCTTTGCTGTGTGAGCACTTTGTCAAGATTTGACATTGGAGATGTGCTGGTAGAAGATGTTGTTTAAAGCATCTTTTGTTAGTAGCATTGCAGATGCAGGCTTGTCAGTTGTGGATGCCAAAATAAAGCATAGGTCATCCAATGTCATCTTCTTCTTGTCATCTACATGGCTCTCACATTGTAGATGCTCATCTGATCCAAGCTTGCATAAATTGCTGAGGTGATCAATGTTCTTGATTAATTTTGTGTAATATATCCCCAATTTTAGCAAATGAACAGGTAGTGTCACATCCTATAAGGGTGTGAGCTGCTGATAATGATTTGCAAAACTTTTCACCAAGTTTTCTCATATTCTTTGAATTGATGATGCGCTGCTTTGACCCATGGCCACCGTGCATGAATATCTCATGTGACGATGTAAAGAACTGTGTGGTAGTAGTACAAAAACATGACCAACGCATCAGCATCACTGCATCGAATTATTTCTCTTATTCTTACTTAGCTGTCTTTGACCTTTGTATTGCATGGTTAATCATTAGAGCATCTGCCTCATCAAGACATGCTTCCATGTATACTCTCTTACTCTGCACTGTAAGGGCCAGTTGTTGTTATGGTCATTAGCCTTCACCCTTTTTTGAAAACGTCCAGCTAAGATGATTGATTCATCACTTTTTTCAAATTAGCAAGATTTGCCTTATTTTACCATTCCTAAGACACCATCTATAATTTGGACCTACAAGACTACATATCTTGCGCACATCATCTTCATCCTTTTCGACTCGCTTTGGTTGGCATTCTTCATGAGGTTTTTGTGTTGAATGTACAGATTTTTAACAGATTCTGCATAGTCGCTGGCGATGTGACAATGTTGTGACTTTACCACCTCCCTGATAGACCTGGTTTTCTTCTGCAGACTTAAACATCAGCCAGAAACATGCTTCACTTGCCATCTCAATTCACTATACAGTTTAACAATCCTGGACGTGGCTAATAATGCTAAAAGCACAGCCACTCACACTGTATTTTTGTATTGTAATCTTTGTACAAATGAATAACTTAATAAAAAAAACAAAAAAAAACAATCCTGGAAATAAGGCTAGGGTTGCTGTCAAGTGCATGACACTCATTGTCATATTCTATACACGAGATGGTTCTTTTGTGCTTTGTTGTACAGGGTGGTCAAAAAATGGAAACCTTGCATTTTCCTCATATCTTTGTCATTTTAAAATATTACTCTCTCATATTTCACACATTTGTACATCATTCACTATCATACAACAGCACTTTAAACAACATGCTTCAGGTTTGGGCATTATCACGCTGTTGTCAAACCTGCACAGTTGTCAATGATCCAAATACATTCTTCAGCAGATATGGCCTGAATGACACTAATGATCTTACTTTTGAGGTCTGCAATTGTCCTGAGGTCATTCTCATACACTTTATCGTTGCCGTTTCCCCACAAGTAGAGACATTTTGGACTACATGTGCAGGTTTGCTGACAGCACAATAGTGGCCACTGGGGCATGTTCTTTAAAGTGCTGTAATATTGTGACTATCAATCTGATGGTCATGAAATATAGTGGGCTGGTAGGAAATTGAATTATGTACAAATGTGTAAAATATCAGTTCTTAAAATGACAAAGATATGAGAAAAATGGTGTAAGTTTTTTTTACCATCCTGTAAATGGCCTTCTTTCAGCCTTCTGATTGTCTCATATGCCTCACAAGTCTCCACATCAGGTCAGATTTGATTGTCCTGTGGTATGAACTGGACTTTGTCATCATTTCTATATTTTCTTTTGATGAAATGGGATTCGGTGTTGGTGTCACTTTTGGTTTAACTCATCAACCTTTGGTTTTCATAGTTACATATATCTGTGTCTTCCAGAGAAGTCTTGTTTTTTCTGTTCTGCTCCTTGTTATTATTATTAATTTCTGATCGTTTATACAAGACCATGGCCATAGGATGTGTTGATCCCTTCCCATCAATAGTGTCTTCGATTTGATCAAAGTTATGGATTGCAGCATCCACTAATAAAACCAATATTTCCATCATCGGCAGGTTTCTCAATACCACTGAGATTTTTTGTATTTTTACACAAATGGTGGCCATATGAGCAGTCATATTGATAATTCCTTCTCCAGCAGAGGTCCTACACCCATAAGGCATAAGCCTATAAAATTTGAATCAAATATGTCAATCGGTATTTAAGTAATCACCCAAACATACTTACGGACAGACGGGTGGCTTTTCTATATCCCTCCCTTCGTTTGGTGGGATAACAAAGTATTAAATAAACTAGCTACACATAACCTCTTGTTGAATGCATTCAGCAAGACCATCCTATCTGGATGGCCATAAGCTCTGCATAGTGACTCTGATAAAACGATTACTGTATGGCAAACAGATACTGAAAATCTATAAGTCTCTATATGTTACATAATATTATATCCTCATATTAATTATGTTATTGTGGAAATAATTGTACTATCACATCCTTTTATTCATTTTTTGTATTTGGTGAAGTTTAACCAGTTTATTGCATTAAAGCGTGTCTTGCTACGTCTAATTTCAAATTTTTTAACATTATTACATAATAATTACATAATTATGATTAATATTGATTTTAAATTTCTTAAAATTTTGTCATCAATTTTTTCTGAAAGCATTACCACCATTATCTGTTGTTATACTTTGATAAAAACCTAACCATAGCTGTTTTAAACCTTGAAAATATAAAAACATAGAAAACAATAAATTATGTAACATTGCGCTAATTATCTGGAATCTGACCCATATTTGAAAATGTCAAAATTGGTTTCTGAAAACTTCACATCATACCGAACAAAATGGTACCACATACGTCTCGTTATACCGGGTGCGGGGGTATGTCATAGAAAGAGGCCTCGCTGGAATGTCCCTAGCCTGTACTATTAAGGATTAAAGACACACTGGTCAGAATTGATTTTTCCTGCGTACTAAAAATATCAGCTTGTTTAGATTAGATCTAACTGGCTCCACACCTCTTTGCTAGGGTTCATGTCGCGCTAAAAATCAATAGTATTAAGTTTGTAAATAAGTCAACCAAACTAAATTATTTTTTGAAAATGTATTAATTTCACACATGATATCATGAAAGATTTATTTATATGCAATACAATTAATATGAAACTCTAATTTTTGGGTCACATTGAGCCATAGAATTGACTAAGCATCCTTTCTTCCATCTGTCTGTCCATCCTTTTTTAACACAATTAACATGTTAACTCCTGTCCATCGCATCTAAAAACCTGTCTATGTTTAGTTGCTCTGATTTTCCATGCCAACCCTGCTGATCGAAGGGGCAGGGCTTCCCATACAATCTTAAAATTTCCGGGAAGTTTGCTCTTGTAAAAAAGTTGACATACTTTTAAAAAAATTAATTTCTTTGTGTTTCCTACTAATTGAATTCACTATATTTTATAAGATGTTTATTTCTAATGTTATAAGAATTCATTCGTACGAAAAATATAAAATAATTCGTTGGAACTGTTACAAATAGGTGAATACCTGAGACTTTAAGAAACTTTTGCGATCAGAAATTGTTTATTACATCGTTGCTATGCAGTTTGCTGAGAATAATTCCTTTTGAGATGTGACATTTAAATCATGTGTTTGATAAAACAAATTTGATTTGTCCTTCAATTTCACCAATTCTTAATCGAAAGTTCTTTATACCAAATTCCATGGCGATCTATGATGCAAGAAGAGAGTGTCGTGGTATTTCATAATGACTCCTGCCCCTTCGTGTAATAACCATGCTATTGCTATCTGCTCTAGGTGAAAGGTGCAAGGCTTTTTGCTGACTACCAACAGTTGATGAGGATCTGGACTCACCCTTATGTACTCAAATTACATGAAGTTCGAGAGGAAAACAAGGTATATTGCTTTTAAATGCTTCAATCTATGCTCGGGTTCTCATAGTTGGTTATTGTGTATCTTTAAATACAATTGACTTTCCCAGTAATTTCTCATGTTTTTTCGGGAATTGAAGAAGCTAGGGTATATTGCTAGATTTATAAGTGTCATACTTTACAAACACCTCAGGGGGTGTATAATACTCATACAGGAATATATTATCAAAAGTAAGTTAGTGATGTCTTGTCAGTTCAAGAAATTGAGTATTAGTTTTCAAGTAAAACATGCAAAATGAATTAAGATCATGGTTACGTTTTACCTAATATATGTAACCTATGATAAAATTGTAATAGAAAGTTGGGCGACGGAGACCAAATGCCCTTGAAATAATTTTTAAAATATCCAAGTTACATGTACTTAACGAGACAACAACTCCACCTTTCGTAAGCTATTAGATACTTGTTTTGAATGCATGATAGTCAAATATTGAAATGCTGTACTAATATATTTGTGGTATCTGTCCATTTCAGAAGCCAAAGGTCTGACTGAGTATTAGTTTATGCATAATACTTTCTCTGTTTAATATTGAGAAACATTTTTTAATAAGTTAACCTGTTTCTAAATGTGCATCTATATATAAGTTGTGTCTGTCCTTATATAAAGTTTTACACTCAGGGGTTGTGTCAAATATCAATTTGCATTTTTACATTCATTAGGGGTGGGGAAAACCATACTTGACCATGACATTTTGACTCCATCCCTGAGTGATATCTGCATGGGTTTTAAGTAAATTAAATCAGTCAGATGAATAAGAAATAATAGTACACACTTGTAGGGATTCTGTACAAGACTTATGAATAATAATGTCATATTTTTTTCTGAACACCGTAAAGAATAATAATAAAAAGATGAAAGGGTTTGCTTATTGCCTGTTTCTATCTAAATACAGGGTGTCCCAGAATTCACTCAAACATTCTTGGACACCCTGTATAATGTGTCTCATCTCCATCTTTGCTGGTGCATTTAGAAATATTTTCTATTTACCACTTCTTCAGCATGTGTACTAATAGTGTAACAATTCATTGTCCTTTTCCAAATGTTATTTAAGCAAATGCAATGGATATTGTTGGAACTCATGTTCCCATACATATAAAATAAATTACATTATCTTTATATTGTATAATGCCAGACCATTCAAATTATAAATAAAAATGTGAATATGAAATTTATACAGGATTCTGTACAAAGAGGAGCACTTGTTGCCTGTGACTAAGCACCATTGTTTACTTGTTGCTAAGCAGAGTGTTTACCTGTTGCTAAGAACCATTTCTATGTCACCATCAATAGTGGTAACATGTTTTTAAAGTTTCCAACTTTTGTGGACAGTGTTCGGCGTGGGAGGTTGGGGTCTGCAACAAATGGCATGTGGTTACATTTAGCAGTTAATGCCTTGTTTACCTGTTGCAAAGCTACATTGTTTTCCTGTTGCTAAGCCCTATTGTTTTCCTGTTGCTAAGCACCATTGTTAACCTCTCTCTTTGTGTTATTGTAGAGACAGTTTGATGATGAAGATTCCTTTCTTGGTAGTGAGAACGATTATGACAGCAACTCATCATTCATTGACAATGACAGTGAGATATCTCTAGTCTCTGATAAAAGTGACGATGACATACTCTGTTTAAGTTCTGATGATGATGGTCCCAAAAAAGGAAGGAAAACAAGAGCTCAGAGAAAGTATGTCCATTTTTTGTTGTAATACTGTGTCCATATCATGTTTTATCTTACATGTCATAGCAATTGCATGAAAAATGTATGTGTATTAAAGTATGTGATGAAAGATATTTTCTCATAAATAATTTCTTTGTTAATTTTAAATAATTTTGCAATGGTTAGAAAGCCAGCATTTTCATTGTTGAGAATATTGAGTTACAACATTTGTCAGATGATAATATATTGTACTATTTTATGTGAAACATTTCTTTGCTATAATATTCAAATCTTGAATTCTAGGGAGGCCAATGAGAAGAAAGCTCGTAATGACAAAGATGAAGTGGTGAATAAATGGAAATCTAGCACCCGTGGTGGGGAAGGAAGTGAGTGCTTATTCTTCTACTGTTACATGTGAAACTACACAGTTTCCATAGTAACAATATGAATCTTAGCTGAATATTTTTCATCACGATTTTTACTGAATAAATAAGGTGTCATATTTTTCCTTCCTGTTTCTCAAAAGGTTAATGTTGACAGCCATTCATTGGTTCATCGCCATTTTCACTATAAAGTTCTCTCCAATTTTCATGCATTAATGTACAGTTTTTTTTGTGTTTCCATATTCCACTGTATTTTGCATTTCAAAACATGACCATGTTATATTTAATTATTGACCACCCCGTCATCTTTTGTAGGTGGGAGGAACTCAGTCGTGCCTGAAGATGAAGATTCAAATCTGCCAATCAGCAGAGAGTGGTGGGGGTCACATGTCTCAGAGGAGGATCGTTATAAAGTAGAGCTCAGTGGGAAGATACATCTACTGTTTGAAGTCCTAAAAGCATCCGAGGAAATTGGCGATAAAGTGTAAGCTTTTTTTGGATATTTTAGTAATGTCACATATTGAATTCTTCTATAGTTGCAGTTGATGATTAAAACAATGCTGTTCACATTCTGCACTGAACCATGGAGAACATTCCTTATATATGAAACTGCCAAATGGTTAAATAGGTTCTCTTGGTGTTGAGTTTATGTAGAGTGCTCTTTCTACAGAAATGTTTCAATCATTCATTTTTGGCTCACACAGTGAGCCTATGGGATTGACCAGGCGTCCGTCCGTCCGTCCGTCCGTCCGTCCGTTGGTCCGTCCGTCCGTCCGTCAACATAGGCTGCACAAATTAAAACTGCTATTCGGATTGAGTCATATCCACATTCATTTTATGCATATCCATAATGCCTATTTGACCTATCATCGCCATTTCCCAAGTTCGCCCGGTTTCCGAGAAATTGCGAATTTTGACGTCAAAAAGTCAAATTTTCTGTAAATACTAGACACTTTGTTGAAGTAGAACTTTCAAATAACTTTTAGTAGTTGGTGTATATGCAACTTATGTCCTCTGAAGATTTCAAAGCTCTTGGAATTACGGTTTTTGGTGTTTACTCTATAAAATTTGAAAAAAGTAGGACTTCGTCATTTTCAGGAAACTTTCTCATGTATAAAGTCAATGGCAGGTTTTGTGATTGACAAGATTCTTAAAGTTTGCCTTATACTTGATCATTTCCTGCAATACATTACATCATTAATAGATTTAAGCATTCCCTACATATTTCTCAATATATGTCAGCATCAAATTTTTACCGTTTTTGAGATATTTGACGTCAAAAAACAGTAAAAATAAGTTATTTTTCAACTTGCTTCAATTTCACCAAATTTTTTTTTGAAAGTCATCTACAAGTTGCCAGGAGTTCAAATCTGACATTAGTTTTAGGATTTGACCTTCAGTGACCTTCGAAAGGTCAAAAAAGTTGATTTTTCAAATTGATTTTTGGATGTAAATTTTGGTCAGCTTAATCACAAAAGACCTTACTGAGCTCTGAATAAGTAAAATTTTCAAGGTCAAAGGTCATCAAACTAGGTCACACAACTATGCTATCAAAGTTTCTCAAAGTTCGAGACTACAAATCCAAATCAATATTTTTGTTTGAAAGTCAGGATAAAAATTCCTCTGAAGGTTCCAAACTGTGTGAGCATAGGACCGTGGGTCCTTCATTGAATTACTGAACCACTCTATCTTGCTATGCAGTTGTATTGTACCAGATATAAAACAAGAAGTCCAAATAATGTAATTTGTTTTTTAATGTAATAATAATAATTTTGTAACTTACAATTCTGATTTTATGTTTTCCAGGCTTGTGTTTAGTCAAAGTCTGCTATCTCTTGATATAATCGAAGATTTCTTAGCACATGCTGAGGAGGCCATGGCCTCGCAGAACAAAGAAGAGGATAATCTAAAGAAGGTAATAATAATAGATACTGATTTTTTAAATACTGATTTATGTACAGTGATCTCACACAATGCATGTTGTACATGGCAGTATTGTCTGTTTTATTCCTATGACAACCACCATGGAGAAAGAGAAAAAAGTGTTTGGCAACATTTAGTCCATATGTGTTGGAATTTGTGTAATTTTCAAGTCTACTGATTCCAGAAATGTTAAGCTAAATACATTTTTTGTGTACATGTGGTAAAGTAAGTGCTATTTCTGTTTAATAGATGGCAGGCTTGGGCCAGTGGTCAAAGGGTGTAGATTATTTCCGCATGGATGGCTCCAGTAATGCCCAGCAAAGGAAGAGATCGGCTGAAGAATTCAATGACCCAGAAAACTATAGGTGGGTTAGTTACATTCAAGTAAAGGCCATTTTAGTATTCCGGCAAGATATGTAGTCACTTATGTATTCATTAGGTCGAACTTGTGCTTTCGGTCGCTTACTATTTATTATAAAACTGATTGTATTAAACACATTTTTGTGTTTTCTTTCGAGAGTTTAGTTAACAGTGGTTGGTGATCATTTAGTGTCTGTATTGACATCTGTAACAAATGGGAGGAATTGACATTTTGCATGTTAATGCCTTGTTTATTCTCCTTTTTGCGAATACAGTTTCACAACCTCTAAAAAGGAGACCATTATATTCAGATTAGAATGAAGAATAATAGAAGACTATATTCTTGCAGGTCAAGACTGTTCCTGATCTCAACAAAAGCTGGTTCTCTTGGGACAAATCTGATTGGTGCAAACCGTGTGATCCTTTTTGACGCATCGTGGAATCCATCACATGATATTCAGTCTATATTCCGTGTATTTAGATTTGGACAGGAAAAACCTGTTTATATCTACAGATTCCTTGCTCAGGTTTGTTGGTTTGTTACATAACAGAAATATACCAGACTCTCTTTTCAGTGATTGGCAAACCTGTTTTGAACCTGGCTTATTTTGTTATATGCTTGGATCAAGTAAAATGAACAATAAAGAAAGATCAAAACTACATAATGTGGTGTATTTCTAAAATAAAATAATTTTATTTTAATGTATTAATAACTTTGATTTTACAAGAATAAACAAATGATTATATTCATTCTTATTTTTCTTGTAAATATGAAAATCTGTGAAAACAATATTTAACCATGCAGCAAGGTTATCTCCCTTGGTGATGGAGAGGGAATAAGGGATCACAATGTCAGTATTTGAAGCTATTTAATATGGCAAGTTTTATGTAGAGTATGAAATAGACTCTTCACAACCTAAGGGGTTGAAGTGAGAAAACACTATTTAACAGTGCAAGTTTTATAATACAGGGTACTATGGAAGAGAAGATTTATGAGCGTCAAGTGACCAAGCAATCTCTAGCCCAGCGTGTAGTCGATGAGCATCAGATAGATCGTCATTTCACAGCACGGGATCTCAAGGAACTCTACAATTTTACTCCAGATATACTTGAAGAAGGCAAAGAAAAGCCTATTCCTATTCTTCCAAAGGTCAGTGAAATTTCAGGCAGATTGGAAAATTTGTTCTATTATTATATCACTGTCATATTCCTCACCCTCTGATTGGTCCATGTTCAGATGAATGTTTCGGTGAATACATGTGGCACTTTCAAAGATGATATTCCACTAGCCCTTTGGGCTTCGTGAAAAATGCAGGTATTCCCTTCAAATGAATTAAATATTTGTATAATATACAGTATGCTAAACCTAAATGATAGATGTGGTGATATTTTGTATTATCCTTGTATTTCTACCTATAGGACATGCTATTGGCTGACCTACTAAAGTCCCAAGAAGACTGGATTGTTAAATACCACGAACACGACTCATTGTTAGAGAATAAAATAGATGAAGGATTGACGGAAGAGGAGCGTAAAGCAGCCTGGGATGAGTTTGAAAATGAAAAGAAGAGAGGAGTCATGACCCACTCCAGACCAAGTGAGAAACATTTTGAATTTATTATGTCACCACCATATTTTTTGTAACCTACAACTTTTTACTTGTGGATGGTGTTCGGCAGTTGGTGGTCAGTATTCAGTGTCTGTAACAACAAATTCATACCATTTGCAATAACTTGGAAAGTGGTGACATTTTGTTTTGTTAATGCCTTGTTTTTAATTTAGCCTAGGTTTTTTTCCTAAAAAGCAACATTACTTTGTTGAATATAACAAAACTTTCTTGAATTAAGCATACAAGTCACATATTTATTTGATTCATTGCTCCTTGATGCAAACTTTCCTTTTTGATTTTGAATCACATTTTTCCCTTCCTGGGGATTTCTTGCTTTCTGACATTGTTATCAATTTCGAGGATCTTTTACAATGCAAGGAAAGTCAGTTAATTATTTTCTGGTTCCAAATCACATCTGCATATCAACTCTGCATGAAATGAATTTTTCAGATGGTATGGCCCAGCCAGGACTTGGCCTAAATCCAGCATACAACCATCTTGTCAACAACTCCGCCATGAACTATAACCCCATGTATCAACAGGCACCTGGTGGTATTGGAGGTGGGGTCTCATACCCCAACCTTATGGGGATAGCAAAGATGATCCTTCAAAGGGTAAGCAACTAAGCATCATAATTAGTGATTAGTGCCTCTATGATTTCAATTGCAAAATATGAGAACATGCCTTGATGGATATATTTAAATGTTAAAGTCATAGATCCTATGTAAGTAAATCACTATTGAACTACATCGAACACTTTATCTACACAAGAAAATTCACATTACATAATAATTATAAAACTTATTTCTTTACATTATGATTGTAACAGTTCCAAAATTGGAGTGTTGCATATCTTGGTCAGGTTTAATTATAAACTTGTTAAACCTCCCTTGCCTGTAGACAGATATACTATAAATGCCTCGAGATAATCATAATATCCCAAACCTCATATAGGATAACTTTGATATATTTCTAGAACCCTGGTATATCTCAACCTGACCTCCAAGACCGTATTCAGCAAGTTGTCCGCACACAGCTTGCAAACCAACAACACCAAGCACAACTGTTTTTGCAACAGCAGCAAAGAAGACAGGTATGCCTTAATGAACACTTCATTACATGTTAAAGAACACTTTATCATGACATGTTAATGAACACTTCATTATGACATGTTCAAGAATTCTTTATCATGACATGTTTAAGAACATTTCATCATTACATGTTAATGAACACTTCATTATGACATGTCAATGAACACTTCATTATGACATGTTCAAGAATTCTTTATCATAACCCGTTAATGAACACTTCATTATGACATGTTAATGAACACTTCATTAAGACATGTTAATGAACACTTTTATGACATGTTAATGAACACTTTTATGACATGTTAAAGAACATTTCATCATTACATGTTAATGAACACTTCATTATGACATTTTCAAGAATTCTTTATCATGACATGTTAATGAACACTTCATTATGACATGTTAAAGAACATTTCATCATTACATGTTAATGAACACTTCATTATGACATGTCAATGAACACTTCATTATGACATGTTCAAGAATTCTTTATCATGACCCGTTAATGAACACTTCATTATGACATGTTAAAGAACACTTCATTAAGACATGTTAATGAACACTTCATTATAACATGTTCAAGAACACTTCATTAAGACATGTTAATGAACACTTCATTATGACATGTTAAAGAACACTTCATCATGACATGTTAATGAACACTTCATTAAGACATGTTAATGAACACTTCATTAAGACATGTTAATGAACACTTTATTAGGACATGTTAAAGAACAATTCATCATGACATGTTAATTAACACTTCATTACATGTTAAAGAACACTTCATCATTACATGTTAAAGAACACTTCATCATGAAATGTTAATGAACACTTCATTATGACATGTTGAACAACACTTCACCACAACATTTTAATGAACACTTCATGCAAAGTTAGTGAATACTTCATTTTCAATGAAATGAATGCTACATGTTATGTTAATGAACACTTTATCGTGACATGTTAATGAAAGCTAATTATTCATATTTTTTTCTTTGATTTAAATGAACTTAAAGATTTCTAAAAACATTTTTCCACTATTAAAGGAGCAATTACTCCTAGCTACAATATTTTTCACAGACTCCAATAATTATTTTGTTATCTCACTGGCAGATGTTAATGTTATGTTTCAATTCATTGATATTGCATGTTTTAGATGGAAGAGAACATGAGGATGGACAGGCTAAGGATGGAGGCTCAGTACAGAGCTAGAACAGGAGCTGCCCCAGAATCTGCCTCCTCTGCCCTACAGAATCTACTGACCAACCAGAGGAAATAGTGCACATTATGAGAGGAACTAGTGCACATTATTAGAGGAATAAGTGCTTAGGAGAGGAAATAGTGCAAATTAGAAGAGGCAATTCAAGTTTTTTACAAAATCAAGATGAACATTCTTAACATGTCCACATGTTAATAAACTCCTCATTATGACATGTTAATGAAAACTACATGCAGTGTTAACTAAAAGCTCATGGCATAAGGAACACAACATGCAATGTTAATGAATAGTTCATGACATGTTAATGAACACTACATGCAATGTTAATGAAAAGTTCATGACGTGTTAATTAACACTGCATGTAATGTAAATGGACATTCTTGCGACATGTTAATGGATAATTCATAATGTCATGTTAATGAACACTTTATGACATGCTAATTAAACATGGGATGTTGATTAACACAACTTGATGTGTCGATGGACTCTTCACACAACTTGACAAATGCAAATTCTTGAGACTGAATCTTATGTTCAATGCAAGGAGAGTATAAACTCACTATGGGTGAAAATGAAACTTTTCCAGCTATATTTGATTAAAGCAGAATTTAATGTCATTTGGACAAAGCATGGGTGACATTGGGTGTACTGTTAACAAACACTTGAGTTTATAATGAACACTAATGAAAATTTCCGCATAAAAGACCAAACTCTCTTTAGAATTGATATATGTAAACAATGTACTGCACATGTTTGGGGTATGCTTTTAAAGAAATTCATGTGCTCTTAGTCTTAGTCTATCATGAAGACATTTTGTTAAACATTCCACAGTTTTATCATTAGAAGGAGATGTTATACAACTGTAGTTCAAGTAATGTCTTCCAGCATTTTATTCATGAAAACTTACATTCATTTTGAGATTCGAGACATTTCAAATTTCTTGACAGTACTACCCAAGTATTGCATGGTGGTAATCGTAGAATAGCTTGTATAGTAAATGTATGTATTTTATATCATGTTTGGAAAAAATATTTTGTATGTACAGATATATGTATATCTAAACTATAGTGTCTAGTAAACCTAAAGAGGAGGAATTACCCATGATTCATGGATAAACCTACCTCCAAGTATAGGGTCATCTATGAATTCTGGGATATTCCCCCTCTTGTAAACAAATGAGTGTTTTGTAAACTTGTACATGATGAAAAAAATACTTTTAAAAAGTTCAAAAATGAAAGGATGACATGGTGTGAGTGGTAAATTTGAGAGAAAGCATGTTAAATAGGAAATCTCCGCTGTATATAACTTTAGTAATATTATTGTATGAATCTGTACCTTACTGTAAAATATAAAACTTAAACAAAACAAAAAACGATTTTATTATTGAGTTATTTTTCCATGGTGGAGATGGATCACGTTTATTGGCTCCCATTGAGATAGATATCTGCAACATGGTTCTGGAATGTCTACTTATTCGATTGACTTTTGCTGAGGTGCAAGGTGGATATTATGAGATTGATATTTCAGGTTGTAGGCACTTTTTTAGACCATTATTCTCTCGGAAATGTGATAGGTACCTTCATAGTGTAGAGACAGTCTGTTTTAAAGAGAGAACCAGGTCTATAGGGGTAACAAAATTGCAAGCAACATGAACAGTTGACTTACCAATGTATTCTTTACGATCTCATATATAATATCTATTCTATTTATCTAATTGTAACCTTTGGACAAGGTGCATCATTTAATTTTTAGCTCACATGGTGAGTTATTGCAATCAATCACTTCTCCGTCTGCCTGTCGGTTCTGTCCGTCTGTCAACAACTGGCCCGTTTTAAAACCTCTGTCAATAGGATTCCCGTTTTAAGTTATTTTTGTTCAGTATCAATATAGAACCCCCCCCCCATATGAATCCTGGTTCAAAATGGTCGCCATTTCCTAGCTTTACAAATAATTTCAGCTGTCCTGCATTGTAAAAAGCCATGTCACTGTAAAGAGTAGTTGTATGAAATAATTTTGTCACAAAAAAATCGGCAAAAATTATATCCGTTTTTTATTTTCTGCCATTTTAGCCATCATTCACTTTTGAGCAACACCATGTGACCCCAGTACATACGGTACTATTTATTTCTTGAAGAACGGACCTTGAACCCCTCGTTTGCCTAGCTAAAAGTCAATTGAATGGTACCAGAAGAGTCAGATGTTCCTTTTACATTTCATCTTTTTCCATCCTTATTAACAAAACAAAGTCTGCAAACAGTTCATCGCCTTGATGTCAGCTGGGATGTTTACCAGGACATTAGCTTAAAAACAGCACAAGAGAGTCCTGTGGAACTAAAACAGAGAGGAAAGGTCTAGCGTGCAAAAAAAGAGTTAGACATTGACTTTTTGGAAGAAAGTGTACACAAATCAAAGTGTCCCATGGTCTTTTTTTTTTACCTCCAACCACCGACCGATCGGTCCTTCACAGTTTCATTTCAAACCCTGCTCTGAGGCAACCTGTGGTCGAAGGGGTCGGTCTTTTCCATACCCCCTATTTATGAGCAAAAATACATGAACTACCCAATCTATATTCTATGTCTGTGATAAACACTTAAATGTCTTTGTCAAATTCTTGAAAAACTGCCACTAATGTTTCTAACTTTGGCAGTCTATGTTTTGTGTATTTAAATGTATTAATAGGAATAAAGAAAAAAACATTGAAATATAGTACTGGATGTCCCGTATGAATACGATGAATTCTTGCTAGATAATTGGGTCAAACTGTGTTTTCTCGCTAAATACTATAGACTTCTACTTCTAAAGTGGGTTATACACAATTTTAAGGCTCAAAATGGAATCATTCAAAGAAAAATACTTTAAACCATTTTATTTATTTATTTTATAATTTACCCCCTCCCCGCCTGATAGGGGTGGAGGTCAGAAGCTAAATCCAGGAAGACCACCCCGAATCACAAGCCCCAGAATAATTTTTCACTCAGATCAAGTGTTTCTACAAGTTAACTGTGCCAAGTTTGTTGTTTTCCTGATAAAGATGAAATACAAAGGGCTTTTTTCTGGACATTTGACACCACTTTACTTCATCCTCCCGGGTTCATACTAACCTGTTATTAATGTCTACAAAAGGAGTAGATAGCAACGGCGTGCCGCTAAATTCCCTCTCCTTAAAAAGCTTTTAAAATATCAAAAAACCTTTACAGAATGTAAACAAAGCAAGCTTTAATATCAAGGCTTTTCACTTCTCCTATTTACACAAAAATATGTTGTGTCTATAGAGAGTGTCATTCAATTTACATTATGTAATAAGTATTGCCATAAAAATAGATATAAATTGCAATGAGATACAATCTCCATTTCGGAGATCATCAATTATCTCGAAATGCTCTATTGTCGTTACTTGGAAACAATACAACAGTATAGATGTTTCGATTCAAGTACTCTTCATTAATATACAAGGTTGGCAAAAAATAAAACTATATAACTAGATCACAACTATTTTATATTATAACAATAGAAACTGTACATATCTGACATTGAGATGCATTGACAAATACTATACAAATATTTAATTTTATTGAGGTGAATATCTGTGCATCTTTCACAAATGAAAGTGGAATATCATCTTGTGATAGTGATGAAGATAGAATTAAATATTTGTTTTATTATTCACTGTTTTTCTGTATGTTTGTTATTTCATTTTTTCTATGCATTTGAGCTGTTCTGTATTATCAAAATATGATAATATAGTAGTTACCTTTTTCGACATCGAAACAGTAGACTTGTGTCTTGTATATGTCAAAGAATTAGGAAAGTAAACCTACTCGTAAGGTTGTCAATGTTCACTGTTCAAAAAGATCAAACTCGAAATATCTTCATAGAAACCTCTTTGAAAGTATTATAGGTGTTATCAGGCGATGCAATGTCATCTGGCCAATATCTCCATGTCATGCATGTTGCATAATTTGGACAATTCTCTCCATTCGTGTACTGGCCAAACAAATTAGCCCTATGACATCCACGGTACCACCAAGCACCTTTGTATGTATTGGCACAGTCATTGCCATTATTGTCCTGGTCGTATGTAGAGAATTGTTTTCCATTGTGATACGCCATTGAATCTCCCGCTGTTCCGGAATACCCACTGATGTTAAGGCGGTATTTGTCACTCTCGTCAGCCATGTTGAAAACGGAATATTCCGCGAAGCCAGTTTGAGATGTGGGAACTGTCGGCCATGTTGTTAGGTCAAATCGAACTTTATAACCTCTTTGCTTTAATATGCTAGCAAGATTATCAAGTCCGATGAAGTGTTCGTTGTAAGGTTCACCAAAGCCTTGTTGATATTCAACCCAGCTGCGGAAGAAATCCTGGCTCCCGTCAAACCTCTTCATGATGTACGTCCATCCCTGGTCACAGTAAGCTCGGACGACTCTCCCGTCTGTGCTTTGGATATCTCTGGGACCTGTGAATGTAGGAATTGCCCCACAGTCCTCATCTATTATTGGCAGACATGTGAAATTAGAGCGAAACGGGCCCGTTTCGACACAACTCGTACCATTCTGGCACATTACGTGCAGACATGCATCTAGAAATAAATATAAAAGACAAGGATGGAGGTCTGAAACGATTACAAGGCAAATACCCGTTCTCTGCAAATAAACAAAGTTTTGTTTAACAAACTGCTTCAATCAATTTTAATGCATATCCAAGCACACGTGTCAAATGGAAAGGACCAAAAGTTGTAATAGCTGTCGATACAAGCACTTATATATACAAGATAGAGCATGTCTCAAATGATGTTAGACAAAATCAAAAGTCTCAAAGTCCATAGGCGCTTCAAAGGGTCAATATCCATTCGAGAAGCTGTCACCACAATCCAAAAGCATTTAGATATAACAAGTTAAGCCAATACGATGAAATGGGCAAAAATTACATAATATGTTATTGTGACATAATAAGCATTTAATTACTCGTTCATATCACTTACCACATAACGGTGCTCCACCAGAAACCTGGAACAAAACAAGTCATTTTTAAAAATCGTGAATGTAATAATAGTTATCAAAAAGAAAATGCCGTAGCTCAAAAAATCTGACAAGATTTTGAATTATTGATTAAATTGATTTTTGCTCCTCAATTCGATTCATTTTGTTAAACCCAATGGTTGCAGTTGAGTGCTCTAATGGACTTTCATGTCTCTGGTAGTTGTGAATTCTACAAAATACAAACAATTATTGAAACACATATTCATTCTGTCAATTACGTATATATTTTTAAAGTAAAACTGTCCATTTTTAATTGAACGATTTTTCAACTCACCTGGCCATAGTAAATCAAAGGTGCGTTAGACGGCAATACAGGTTTATTCTGATCTGCATTACAAGATACCAGATCACATTGCGATAATCCAGATGTTGATCCCAGCTCAAAGTTGAACGAATAACATTCATCATTTGCTTCGCATAATATGCTACATTTAGCCAAACTATCTACCATCATACTTTCCAGTATGTACCCTACCAAAGATTCACTGTGTACTCCTCTCTTTAGCAAGGTACCAGCCTGGGAAGATATTGTCAACGCTAGACCAATAAAGGCCAAAATATATATCATATTCATAATTGAATGCAATGATCTCGTCTTGCTATGCATTCTTCCTTGTACATAGAGATCCTTCTGGACTTTTCTGCGTTGTCTATCAACAAAACTCCAACGAGTCCTTTGAAATCAAAAGTCTCCAACGATCTCTGGCGGTTATTGAACAGAAAATCAATGAAATGTTAAGCAATGATACTTTCATTGTATTATGACATACGCGACACAAAAAAGCAAACGGTCCATGCACGTAGCCAGGCTTGAGGCAGGCGAGGCAGTTAATTTTACAGAAAATATTAAATCAGACGTTTTTCAATTGAAACTCTGAAAATGAAGTAATGTGATAGTGTGATTTCGCTTTAACCCCAAGGCCTCACCAAATAAAATCTACCTCTAAAAAATTTAAGACACTGGCTACAGTCACGATGTACACGCCCAATTTACAGTGCCGGATCCAGAAATTAACAGGGGGGGGGGGGGCAAATTTTGAATCTGGAAAAAAAATTCCGGGCCCCTAAAATCAAACTTTTGAAAAATTAAGACCCATTTTTTGATAAATTGGCTCTAAAAAGACCAAGTTATGGCACAAAAGGCCCACTTTTTAAGGCATGTACTTTCTTTAAAACATTGTTCTAATGTTTATTACATATTGGGTTGACATAATTTGCAAAATACACTCTGCTGTATTTTGAAATTTTCAGTGTCTTCCACAGTAAACAACGAAGTTTTTTGTACATGCATAATTTATCCAACAATATCATTGCGTGTTTTTATATTTTTTTCAAAATTACCCTCCACAGCAAACATTTCTCAATGCTGATTCAATGAAAAATCAACATCGATTCAACATTGATTTTCTCAAGCATTGATAATGCCATAATTGAACTTGGGTACATTCAGTGTTAAATCAAGCTTTGACTCAGGCTTGAATCAACGCTGATTCAACTCAGAGTCAATTTAAGCTTGAAATCAAGCTTTATTCAGTGTTGACTTTTCAGGCTTGATTCAATGTTGAGAATATCGATGTTGAATCATGCTTGATTTTAGGTTGATTCAGGATTGAGATTATTCATGTTGAATTAAGCTTGGTATCAAGATTAAATTAACCCCGATTTGCAAACAACCTTGAGAAATGTTTGCTGTACTTGAGTATATAAATTGGATGTTTCTATGCATTGTAAAGTTAAAAATGATATCTTTGTACTTGAATTGTACAGAATTGATAAAAATCATCCTGTACAGGAAAGGTATGTGCACGACTCATCAGTTCCTAAATTTCCATATTTTCAGTATATCAGTTTCTTTTTAGCGCTTGATATGGGGGGGGGGGTGAATAGCATTTTCATCATAGTTTGAGCATATTGCTTACATTTTTTCACATATTGGATTCGTATTTTTGATTAAATAGATTCATCAAAAACTGAAAACATTTCACAATTAACAGATATCCGTTATATCATAAATGTGCTTTGAGAGTGTATTATACCATAAAGCTAACACTAATCCTAATAGAAAAGGTTTTAGATGAACTGGATTATATGTGTAATTAACTACTGATCGTGATGTTAAAGGAGTTCTGACTTTTTCATAGAGAAATCATTGTAAATATTCATATGTACTGGCCTGGATGATTTTACCCCACATGAGACGATGTACAAACTGATTTTTTGAAGTACTATCTACACGTAGTATCTACACGCCGCATAAGCAATGATGCTTACGATAAAATTCTAACGTTTAATAAAACACGACACGAGACTGTTCCTTTAAATGCACAGAATTGATAAAATTAATTTTGAGAACTATTGAATAAAGATTACTAGATGAATTAGATCGTAAAATGCAAGACTCGATTTTCCAAGCATAATGAACGTCCAATACTTTATGCTCTTTGGATTAACAGTGTGTGGTTTGTCCGATGCGTTGTCAACTGATGAGTTGGATGAATTTAAAAATGATGTTATCATCAAGGAAAATGCGAACGGCTACAAATATAGGATATCTTTGAAGAACGATAATAAGATGAAATATGGTATATTGGCTAATCCTATACTTTCAAAGACCCCGGGTTGCACTGTAACAGACTCACCTATAGGTGTCTCTCCAGAGGGCGTCATTTTTAACCGCAATGACGTCATATCGACTAGAAATACCATAGATGTATTTATTGGTGTTGCATTCGATGGGTATCCAATTTATGGATCATTTTCTTCTGATCTTGGAAGAGTCGTAAGCCCTGATGACGTAGATGCGTGCAATGGAAGGGTGCAAAGCGATGGTTCGTATAGATATCACAGGATCAATACGTTTCCACATCTGATTGGTTGTTTTAGGGGTGTCGTCATTGACAGACGTGGGGTTATGACATCATATACGTGCAAAATTGATGGTGAGTGCTAAAGGCGCTATTGATATTATCTCAGGTTACGATTCAAAATTGCGTGATATTTACAAAACATATCTTATTTAGGGGGGAAATCTTACTAAATCCTAATCAACAAATTAAAAATGAAATTTTATCTGATACAAGAAGGATTGGCTCCTAGGGTTGGGTTCCAACTCTGTATTCGACCTTCACCTTGACCGAGGACGACATCAAAAAGATTTATAATCATCGATCTAAAACATTTGAACGAATATCTTTATCCCATGTGTTTTAAATTTTTTGTTTGGAAATAAGACCAAAACTCAAATTCAAATTCTGAAATGCATAAATGGCCGCTGTTTGATTTTGTTTGTTTTGTTTGTTTTATTTTTCCACATTGTATTCTTTGGTCAATAACTAATTTGATACAACCTGATGATATTGTCATACATTTATCAGTATTAATTAGATTATATGAAAGCTATTCAGGTAGAAATTTGATCAATAGCACCAGGTGGGTACAATTAGAACAAACCGGTTGTACCAATAATTTCATATTCATATTCCTTGTTGATTCAAATTAATTAACATAACGAGAACACAACAAAGCCATCTTGATTCACAAGGTTTCACTTGCTCCAACCAGAGACATAAAAACACTCCTTGGAGGTCAAAGATTTTCCAACAAAATTAATAGACGTCTCTTTCAGAATCTGCCACCAAGTCCATCATATCAGTAGTCGCATCCTTCGGAAAACCATCAACTTTACTTGATCTTTTCGCCAATTACATTACCTCAAGTAATTTCATTGTTGTTAGATGACATACCACTATATATTTTGGTAAGCTTTCTTTGTATTTACAGGAAGTCCAACCCTATGCACGTGCGAGGATCACCTCAATTCGATGTTGCGCAGAAATAAGAAAAAAGCCTTCAAGAAAAGAGTCAAGGAAATCGTTAAAAAAGTTGTCTTGCAGATATTACAAAATGACTGGCAGATTCATATTGGAAATTCTGATGAAGATAAACTCAACGCTTATGAACTCATTTCAGAGGTTGACATCCCAAAACTTGTAGAGGAAGCAATAGATAATAACCATTGGCCCATAGGAGCAAATGACGATGTCCCACCACCACCAAAAAGAATTCCAACCAAAGATGACCCTAGGAGGTATCACATCGGTAAACTTAGAACATTGAAAATCAAACGCCCGAATAAAAATAATAATTGAACGCCTTGGAGTAAATGTTAAAGAATGTATAACCGTTACTTCGTGCCAACCAACTACCAAGCAAATCATTAACATTCGGACTACAGTTCGAAAAAACAGACGTCATTTACTTGAAAATAAACATCAATATAATATCTCAAAGTTTATTGAGAATGCCATGTTAGTATCCAAACAGTTACAAAAGGTGTTGATGGTGGTTTCATACATAATTATTGAAAATATATGGCAGTTAAAACTCCTTTCTGCCATATACAGGGTGGGCCAAAAACAATAATACCCAAGTTTAAACATGAACGTTTCATATGAATATGTTAAACCATGACATGAGTTATATATCATTTTAAAGATAAATCATTCCTAACACTATGCCGCCATTCAATTGAAAAACCCTTGTTTTCTTGTGGAGTTAGAGACTACAATTGACACCAGGATTGCAATGGGCGACCAAAAATCAAAACATTCCCTCTCTATATTATGTTTATGTTTATGTATCTTTATTTCCACCTATGCAGATGAGTACATAATGATTATAAAGTTAATGTGGCAATATTAAAATATAAAAATAAAAAAATATATATTTACAACGCAAACTGTGTTGATTTAATAGTTTATAGAGCTATAGCTGTAGCTCTTGTTTTTAACATGTATTTGACACTTAACATTATCTTCACATACATTCTGTAGTCTAATGCTTCATTTTTTCCTAGTAGGACCTCCATTTTTCCAACCATATTATATTCATCAAATATCCTGTCACTTAAAACTGCCAACAAGTCACTCCTACTTTCATGAAGTTCAAAGCAATCTAAGAGAAAATGCCTTGTCGTTTCATTTGTCACCCCACACAGAGGACAAATAGTGTCATAGTTGAGTGGGAAAGCACCAGTTAGCAGTTTTACCATATCCCTACACATCCCTATATATTTACAATTCGATTGACAGATTCTTCACCATACGCATGGTTGTATCGTTCTATAAACGCTAAGTCTGTTAGATATGTTACAAGTGCCATCTGTCTTCTTCATATCGCATTATGCATGATTTAACTATCCGCTTCCACGCACATTTGGGCATCAGGTCATAATTCAAAAAATATTCATTAATATATCGCCATAAATTGTATCTTGTCACGAGGTTCAAAACTGCATTTATTACTGAATAGTTGCTATACAACTTTGAATGTTCAGAAATTGACTTCCATCTAAAGAACTCAATTATAAAAATCATTTTAAACACACATGTGGTTGGTAAATTTAATATGCTCCACAGAAACATTAACTTTTTTGTATCTATGACCGCACGAATCCTCGACCAGCCCAGTTGTGCCAAAGAAGCTTCGTTATGCACACTACATGGCAATTGTTGAATACGTTTTGCTATTTGTCTATGTGTCAATTCAAGGGTATCATAATCATATTGTTTCAATGGCAGGATATCCATACCGTATGTCATGGATGGTACCGATATGGACCAGTATAAAATAGAGGCCGTCAGTGGATTGTATTCGAAGGAGTCACTGCTGAGAAGCCCCACCCCCGCGTTGATAGCCCTTCTAGCCTTTCCCATTGCATTATCAATATGTTGTTTCAAATTACCATTTGTATTTAAAATGAGACCCACATGTGTACATTCTCTGACATGTTCCATTTTATCTGGTCCAAGGTGAAAACACAAGTCTTTGCGGCCCTGTTTCTCTTTAGTGCAAACCATCAACGGTTTTGACTTCCCAGGGTGGAAGGTGAAACGCCATCGCGTACTGAAACGATATGCTATGTCCAGTAATGTTTGTAAGGACCTTGGGAACACAGCCATGAGGATCAGGTCATCGGCGTATGTGGGTGAGGTTACATTAATATTGCCGATTCTGCATCCAGCATTGCTCTGCTCGAGTTCCTTTAAGAGGCTATTTGTGAAACGCATAGAGAGCATCAAACTACAGACACCCCCCTGATGGACTCCCTGGTTAACGAAGAAAGGATCAGACATAGTTTTTCCCACTCTAACCCTGCATTGATAATCCGATACCAAATTTTCAAAATTCTCCATATTTTCCCCTTGAAACCTTGGTTAAAGAGTGTGTACAACAACCCATCTATCCAGATAGAATCGTAACAATTTTTAATGTCCAATGATGCTATATATGTATCACTACCCCTGTCCGCATTATGCGCGACAGTCTCCCGCACGACCATCGATGTGTGGATACAAGAAGTACCATCTATTGCTGCCCCTTGCAGACAATGTATCGGTTCAATGTTATTATCAGCCTTAACTCGTGCTATGTATAAATTTTCAAATAGTTTGCTAAATATAGTCATTAACGTGATACCCCTATGGTTATCTTTTTCTAAAATATCTTTGTTCCATCCTTTGAGTAACGTTATTAGACCCCTATTTTAAAAGAATCCGGAAAGAACTCATTTTCGATTATAGCATTGAATAGATACGCTAAGACCGAGATTAACCTTGTACCGCCGTACCTTATATGCTCTGGGGTGACAAGATCGTGCCCCGGTGCTTTATTTAATCTTAATCTATCTATAGCAGCGATAACTTCGACTTCCGAAAACGGTTCCTGTAAATTATCGTCAGTTTGGGTGCGCGTTAATTGATCAATTCTATGAATTGCGCCTTCGACCTCTTGCTTAAAGCCGGTATCAAAAACAGGATTATATTGCAGTCACGGCTGCACTCAATATGCTTGAATGAATCATCATAAATTTATTTAACAGTAACACACAATTTATAATTAATTAAAAAGATGAACGTATTATTGGTGAATTTTGCACTAAACTTGTATAAATGTACCTCTTTTAAAGGTGCCAAAGTTAAAATCTACCTCCATTTTCCACAAATGGAAATCCGCAGTGAATATTTTTTGGTCGTTATTACGGGTTTTCTCGGTTCAATTTTTAGGACACCCTGGCCCTGTATTTATTAATAGATGTTTCGAATGAAACTGTTGATCAAGGATTACGCGAGGTGCATTATACATTTATATATTAAGTTTACTGGTATGAAGGATGATTGATTCCGTTGATTGTTTTTAAATCAAGGTTGGGCCGTGTTGCCATGTGAAAATCTGATCATGAGTTATGAGTATATACTTTTCACCATTCTGATTAATAGATCTAGATTCCAGTTAACAACATTGGTCATCGAAAGATTGGCAGTCATTATTCAAACTCGGCCTTCCGTTGCTTGGCGTGGACCATTTTAAACAATTGTACCCATATGTTGAAGACTAGGACTGCCCCGGGAGCATGATTATCTGAATATTAATTACCATAATACTCGTTACGCCCATCTTCCAAGGAAATGCTTTGTCCGAAGATGAACCTTGTAGAAATATTATTACTGAATTCTTCCATTCCAGGCAACGCAAGATCGAGTTTGAATAATGACTGCCAATTCCCCTTGACAGTTGCACGAAGATATTATTCAAACATGAGATGTCGAGCTTCCTTGATAAAGTACTAATAACAAGCTGTAATATGTGTCCAAAGGTCATTGTTTTAATACCGATCGTATCATATATCTATATGCTAGATGCACTATCCGCGACATATCCCGAATTTTCAATTCCGACGTTTTGCCTCCCTTCTCTTTTCTCCCTCAACTTTCTATTCTTTCTTATCTTACCACCAATAAAGTAGATTTCTTGAACAAGCGGTAGAATTATGATGAACGCGGCAGCTATGAAAGCATATGCCATTGAGAAATTTGTCCAATGGTGAAACTGCTTCTTGGTGAAGACTTCAAACGCCACCATGACTGCTGGCCAAACTATAGTTAATCCGATACTGAGGCCTATTCCGGCAATAATGGCAGTAATTGTTGATCTCTTGAAATGCTTTCTCATCATTTTTTGTGTCGGACGAACGAATTTCGTCTCCAAATCATGAATTACACCAAAATCATGAGCATACGTAATACACCAGGGATGAAGAGGATTTTCGATATTTCGTAACTTATTCCACTCCTTTTCTGCATCAAATGTTTTTCTATCTAACGTGCATAATGAGACAACTATGCACACAACTCCACTTAAACCTAACGAGACGCAACTTCCGGCCAACATTGGTATTTCTCGGCCAGTATTCTCTATGAACTTGCTCAGTCCACCTTCGTAAGTCGATGCGGTCCCTAACCATACAGGTATGCCGCATAGACAGCCAGAAAGCACACCTGTGCAAATTAATTAAGTGAGTTTTGAACACGTTTATCTAGTATATTCTCACTATGTCTTAAATACAATTGCATTTTACTGAATAATATTTTACACTCACCTGCCATTGTGCCAGCAGCTGTTGATCTGCTCCAAAGTATACTCAGTACATTGGGGATGAGAACCCCACCAATGATCACCCCTGTGAATAAGTAAACCCAACCAAGCATCAAGCCAACCCAATGGGCAAACAGAACCAGGGGGATCGTAAACAAAGTGACCCAAAGGATGCACCAATTCTTGAAATTGAGTAGCTCATCTTGATACTGTTGGTATAATCCATGTGTTCCGCATCGGTATGGATTTCGAACACCCAAAATGGACTTTTTCTTTGACCTCATTGCTTTGTCGTCTGCACATTCCGTGCATTCCACGACTGGTATACATGTGCATTTGTCCGTGTTTCTTTCCATCACGTGAGTGTTGGGATTTGTGTCACTGGTAGGCTTACCACAAAGAACACACTCACCGGCTTTAAGATTCTTTCTGAAGTAGTAGAATGCGAAATGTAGAATAACTTAAGGAAATGGAGTGGTTTATGACTATAGGAGGGAAAGCCCAGAGCCTTAGAGATGACAGACATGATTGCTATTCTTGCTTACCACTAGTCCAACAACATTAGACCTAGCCTGGGCCTCGTTTCTTATCTGACATGTCTTATGGCCCCGGCTAGGTCTAACCTCCATGATCATTTTGCCCTTGTTGCGCGTTCCGCAGGTTTCGACCAGCGGAACTAATTAACACTGAAAACATGGTAATATTACATAAAGAATGTGATTCAAGCATGCATACATACCTTATGAATACATACACACCATCCCGTATCCCCCTTAGACCCTATTGATGCATAATTACGAAAATATTGGAGACA